TTTCAAATGGTTATGTGACGAGACAGAAAACTCTTCTTTTGAATCCAATAACCATAGCCCTCCAAGCTTATGAAAAACTTCCCTTATTCAATTGCATCTTATAATGCCTGCTCTGTTTTCCTAAGAAGGTCCAGGGTCTGGACCCTTCTGTGGATTCCTTATCAGGAAGATGGGTGTTATTATATAGCAATTTGCCAGTGAGGCTCAGGAGGACTGTGACTTTCTTGAGACCACATGGCCACGTGATCTGGAACCAGGTGGAACCTCCATGCCTGAATCTAAAGGTTCTCCACTCTGGCTGCATGAGAACCACGAGCAGCCTTCCAAGCACCACCTGCAGAGAGTCAGGCCACTGGTGGGGCTCCCAGGTGATTGTAATGTCCCAGGAGCTGGGAACCACTGCTCGGAAGCCAGATCGCAAGCCCTCTCTGGCCTGGGGGCAGAGGAGCCTCCTGGCTCTGCTGGTTACTTGCTGTGTGACTTGAGGCAAATTCCAGTGCATCTCTGGTCTTCAGTTTCTTCATTTGCAAGAAGAGAGATCCCGTTCAAGATCTGTTTCTATGAGGAATTCGTGAGTCACTCGGCATCGAGAAGATGCTTGGGAAGGCCTCCTGGAGAAGCAGCATGAACATGGGCTTGGATCGTGGCCCTTCCCATATTGGGCTACAGGGAAGGAGGGCAAGACCCTGCACCGGAAACCTTGTCACCGGTCGCTGTCCTCTGCACTCCACAGTCCTAGAGGTACTCTTGCTGGGACGGAAGTCCCAACCTCCTCTGAGGGTGAATGGGTGGGGCCCACGTCCACACCTCTCTTAACAGCCCTCATAGGCAAAGGGGGCTGCAAACGCCTGAGGCTGCTAGGTCTTCAGGGCCAGCCTTGGGCTTCTGTGGCTCAGGAGCAGGGAGAGGGCCCCCCAGCCCTGCGGGCTCAGCTCTGGAGGGGCTGAAAGACAGGAGCCCTGAGCTGGCAGGGCCTGGAAGATGGTGTCCTCTCCATAATGCAATTCCCAGAGCCTTTCTTTGTCTTCATTTCCTGATCATGAAAAATATGTTACAGAACAAATAGAACTAGGTTTATAGTTCCCAAATTATGAAGGTGATTTCACGTTTTTTGGTGTGTGGTGGAGATCGTTTTTCTTCTGGGACATTTTGGGCCTCGCTGCAACATGAAGGTGGGATGTTGGGGGCACGGGAGGACTTGGCCCTCCCTAGGCTGTGCTGATTACTATAGTGGAGGGACTCAGAGAGTTCCAGGCTGGGGCAGGAGGAGGGTGATTGTGGCTCTGAGAATAAAACAGCAGGTTGGCCAAGCCATGGAGAAAAACTGAAGTCCTCGCCTGCCAGGAGAGAAGCCATGGTAGGCACCTGCTGAGTGTGGTCTGCGGGGCCGCCCTCCACAGTTCCCGTGAGCCTTGTGTGGGCAGGCGTCCCCTGACATTTCTAACTGAAACCAGGGGGAAGCTGCTTCCCCGCAGAGCAGCAGGCATCCCTGTCAGAGCCACCGGCTTTCTCCCTGTGACTCACGGCTGCTTCCTCCTGGTCATCTGGTCCAGGGCAGGCCCAGAGGATGTGTGTTGGCTGACCACGTTCCTGCTAAAAATATGGGTCCTGGAGTCAGAATTTCTTGCTGTGAAAAGCACTTCCTGCAGGCAGGGTGCCTCAGGAAGCAGATTATAACATTGTTTTTCTGAGTCTTTCTCTTCTTGTGTGGGGTCTCTATATTCAGAGTCTATAAACATGAACAAATGTA